CCTCGTTAGCTGCTGTGTAATTACTAACCTAATAATTTACATACTTCATATAATAATTCAGCTTTCTTAATAGGCTTAATTAGAACCTTGTTGATACCTGTGTCAAGTAGAGAATTAATCTCCTCTTTCGCACTGTTTCCAGTTAAAGCTATTATTGTATTATTGGTGTTGTTATCTTTTTTTCTCTTCTAAGTATTCGTGTTGTTTCTAAACCATTCATGACTGGCATGATGACATCAAGGATGATAAAATCGAATTGAAAGGTCTCACACATTTTTAAAGCCTCCAATCCATTTTCAGCTTCCTCACAACTACATGATTTAAGAATGTTCTTTACAATATTTCGTATGATTTCATTATCATCAACTACCAAAGCTCGTTTTCCCACGAGTATTCCCTCTTGATATTTCAAATCTTCTTTTCGGATTTCTTGTTTGTAGGAAGGATGGGTGTATGGTATGGTTATGGTGAAGGTTGACCCCAATCTCTCAACTGACTCCACCTTAATAGAGTACTTGCATGAGTTTGTGAGAATGTTGAGAAGTACTTGCTGAATTTTGGTAGGATCTGAATACATCATTTCTGGAACGCTTTCGTCAACACATATTGTTACTTTCAGTTCTTCATGTTCGTATATCTTTACCATTTGGATAAGTTGATAAAGTTTATCTCTGAGGTTGAAGGTTGATACATTTAGTTTCATAAAGCCAGATTCTAGTTGGGAAATGTCAATTAAGTCATCCAACAGTTGAAGAATGTACTCTGTTGAAAAGTTGGATTGGATTTCTTAATTCATGGGACATATACGCTATAAATTTAGTTTTTTGTATTAGGTCCTCTTTTGTGGATTCATCGTTTACAGTTATTGCAAGATAAGGATCATTTCTAAAAAAGAAACTACTAACAGATATGGAGATGGGAACCAACTCTTTGTTACAATCAAATTAACAAGATGCTTCTAAATATGGTTTACAATGAGTATTTAGTCTACTTATTGATAAATCTACACCTGATCTTGTTCTTCTACTATTACAATTGGCGATTGTTTTCACTTTAAACCAAACACCGAGGCAGTGCTTCCTATCCACTTCAGACCATACAGTATTAGGTATCAAATCACAAATGTGAATTGGATTGGTAGTTATGTTGCCAATGTATGGTGGAAAGGAGACTCCAAACAGTTCTTTTGCACTCATATTCATTGCTACCACGTGTAATTCCCTGTTAACAACAATAATTCCCTCCTCTAATTCCCTAAATAATGCTAATGACAGTTCGGCTATTCACTTTCCCCCAATAGTGGGTTGATTAAGTTATCAAATTGGTTATCACTATTAACAAAATGTGATTCATTTAAGGACTCACTATGCTGAAGCTCGTGCTCATATAACATGATCAAGTGGGCTAAAGAGTTTCCCAAATATGAGAGGATTGGAACCATCTCCTCATAGTATCCACCCTCCTTGTTAGCAAGTACCAAAACACCCACTGTATCATAGCCAAACACGAGAGGTAAGCATAACGCGTTCTCCTTATCAGGATGGACAAGAGGCTTATCGTTTGTCCTAGGAGGCAAACTATTGCAAATGATTGTTCTCTTTTCAAGGAATGCTTGAACAAAAAGTGCATGTGAGCCAACGGTTTTGAAAATTAATTTATCTGGAGCTTGAAGTTATCTCAGAAAAGCTCTTTAATTTTAACATCAAGGAATAGGTACTTGATGTTATCTCAGCTACCTGTTCCGAAAGGTGGCTCATTAAGCACCATTCGCTTACCCTGTTATCAGAGTTTTGTAACAGTGTTTTAAAGCCTTGTTTGATGATTTCCATGAACTTGCTCTTCCAACTCTGTAGTGTGAATAAGCTCATTTTTTTCAGTTTGGGCAGACTAACGAAAACTTTTTTTGGAAATATTCCATTAATAATAAGGCCTTATTAGTTAATTTACCAAAAGTATTTTATTTCCACAACACATGGTGGTAATTTAGTTTTGAGAATGTTTTGCATCTCATTTGCAGTTCAATCCATTCTATCAAAGTCTGAACATACAAACTATCCATCATTACAATGATTAAAATAATTCAATAAAGTTCTTCAAAGTAAACTGATTGAATGCGTTTTTCTGAAAGGTAATTCACATCCTTCCCGCAACTTTCGCCACCGACTCTTCTTGATGGTTTCAGGTTGTAAAGATATTGAAATAAGGAACTAAACATGACAATGCATAGAATAAAATTAAGGCTTGAAAAATGAATTTAGAAGTAATAATGATTTTTTTGGATGTTAAAGAGCTAGTTGTTTGATGATATATAGAACATTGTATCAATCTTTTAATATTTTACAAATGATCAACAAAAAACTTCTCATCAAACCCAGTTCCATTCTTAACATTTTATTTTATGAAATGTTTAATTTACTTTCCTCACAATAAGAGGCCAACCAACTTGAATGACAACGAACTTGTGGATAGTTTTATCATTATTGCCAAGTAATTCTTGTTCTTTTTTGGCATATTGTTTAACCTTAGAACTTGCCTCATTTAAGATACTTTCAACTTTAACATATTTGTTTGCCCATTTTTGAAAAACTAGCATATTCAATAACTGGCTTTCATCAGCTTGTAATAATTCTTTAAATTTTTCCTTAAACATATAAGGTTTCCAAATTCTAATAGTAGAATATTGTGATAAATACATTGGTCTCAAACGTTTCAATTTAATGATAAATATGTCATTGTCGGTTGAAATAACAAGGTCAGCTCTTAATTCAGTATATTCTTTTCCATTGATATGATAATTTGTATATTCCTTTTCTGCTCTAAAAGTAAAATCTTTGCTTCTATATAAAGAATATGATCTCAATGCAGATTCAATACAAGATTGTAAACCTCTTTCAGACATATCATTGTCAAACACTGTTTCTTGCTTGCTTAAAATACTCCAAAGTAATTTTTTCAAATTATCTTGAGTTGGTTCATTAATAAAAGTTGATATATCACTTTCACGTAAAGATATAAGTCTACGTAACTGTTCCAAATATTGAACCTTTGTAATTTCATTTGGAATTAACAATTGTTTTGGATTCATTTGTTTTGAGGATGATTCTGTGAAAGTAATCATACCATGATAATACATGAATGATAAAGCATTATCACGAATCTTTGATATATCCTCTTCATTGGATGGTGGGTCAATGATCTCTCTTAATTTTAGTGAAGGATAAATAGACTCTGTTACTTCAATATAATCTTTAGACAGTAATTGTTGAATGATATCATTTGATACAACTGATGATGCCAAAGTTGCAAAAACATTCTCACTGATCATTATGTTGGTATCTGTTAATATTGATAATGGAATGTCTTGTTTTTGTAAAACAGCATTTCTGAAAGGTTCATCTTTTACAAGTTTGTTCAAAAAGAACATTGAAAGAGTTGTGTTAAATAGAGCATGTTTTGAACCAGGAAAATGATAACCATTATAATACTTTTTCATGGTTGAAATGGCAGTATCTTGATCATTTCCAAGAATATCAATATTATTCAATGCCATTCTCAGATCATTTTCTGTAAAACCAACCAAACCACCAAATATCTTATCAAAGGAAATATTACTGGAAACATTATATCCAGATGCATCTGCAAGAGCAATAGGAGTGATACCAATGATTAAACTACGAAAATCTTGTAAACCAACACCTGAAGACCATTTTAATTGTTCAAAGAAAGAACGAATTGGTG